TGATGAAGCTTTTTAGAGAAACGTGTTCAGCTCTAGCTGGTCCATATGCAAGAGTATACAGTGTGAATAAGTTGAGTTGTGAAATAAATCACAAATAATATATGGCAAATTGAGAATTTAGAGGGACCAGAGGCTTCTATTACGTGCTATGGGATATTCCTTTTGAACTTTCTAACTTTGTACCAATTTTATTGTCAAATTTTAGCAGTACTTGTAATAAATATATAAAACATTAAATACATTGGGGTTGATTTACTAAAACTGGAGCATGCTAAATCTGTGCATGGTAGCCAATGAGCTTAGTAAATAAGGGAAAGCTATGTACACTGAGCATGTGCTTTGTAAATAAATGAGTAGTTCAGTATCAATTCTGAATGCACATACATATTGAAATATGCATAGTTTGAACTGTGTTTTTGCACAGAGCAGCTCCAATCCAACTCTTCTGGGGTCCCCCCGTTGGTGCTCCTGGCTCCTCCCCCCTGCTAAGTTACCCCCTAGCAAGCCACTTGCTATGGGGAACTCATGCGGGCAAGAACAGTTTGGCTTAGCCTCGCCCCCCATTCTCTCATCACTGAATTTGATTGACAGCAACAGGAGCCAGTGGGGGAGGAAGCTGCATATATATAGATATTGGCCATTGAGCTTAGTAAATAAGGTAAAGCTTTGTTCACCTCAATCTTTCAATCACATGCTCCATCTTGTTTACTAAATTCAGTAATAATTCGCTTTGTAAAGGGAACTGTCTCTACTTCTTTAGTAAATGGGCAGCACAGTGGCTAAATGGTTAGCACTTGGCAGTACTAGGGTCATTGGTTCGAATCCCAGCCATGGCACCACCTGCCTAGAGTTTGCATGTTCTCCCTGTGCCTGCGTGGGTTTCCTCTGGATACTCCAGTTTCCTCCCACACACCAAAGACATGCTGGTAGGTTAATTGGCTCCTGTCTAAATTGGCCCTAGTATGTGTATGTATGAATGTGAGTTAGGGACCTTAGGGTTAGGCACTTTATTTGCTACCTCTTTGTGCAGAAACCCTGATATAGGAGTTCCAGTGAGCCCAACTAGTCAGTGCCTGAATTGCAGGTTCATTGTTCAAAAAAATCTGAAAATTCTTTAATAAAGAAATAGTCTAAAAACAATGAAGATACAGCACAATTCAGAGGTAGATAGCACATAACAAAATAGTTGCTATGTGCTGCAAAAAAAGGCCTCCTAAACCATCACAGTATTGAATCAGCACCTCTGTGATCTAGTTTTAACAAAAAAGGCACAATGTGAGCTTCACAAAACTCAAATTCATGGCAGGAATGCCATTTGAAAACTGTCTGTATCGATGGCAGAAGCACATTGATGCATAAACTGTTGTAAGAAGCACAGCACCCAGACCCCTGGGCAATGGAAAATGTAATATGGTCCATTGAGTTATTGTTCACTGTATTTCAACATCCAGATGGGTTTATGTTCAGAAAAAGCCAAAGGATGCCTTCAATTCACAAGGGCAAGGCCTACACAGGTCCTTTACACTGCGATATTGTTAGGTGTTTCCTTTTTATTTGCTCCCACTAGAACCTCTAACAATGCTGTTTTACCTGTGTATAGAAGCATTAAAATAAATATATATCTCTATATGTTTTTTAAGTTTAAATCTGAACTCTAGGAAAACAGCTAAATACACAGATGAAATACATACAGAGAGGTGTTTTACCTGCCAAAGTATTTGTATTTCTTTTTATCCTTTCATCCAGTCCTGAGATTTACACAACACACTGTCCCAAAGCACAGCCCTGACTAGCAGGGCAAGGGACCTGATATTTTTCTGCTGCAGTTAACCTTTCACTTACAGGTCACCTCCCCACCGCTACCCAGTAACAGGACAATGAAAGGGTAGGCAACACACTGATAAGTTCATCTCTCTGTCACTCTACTTTTTTTATCCATCAGCATGCTTCTTATACTGCAGCATACCTGATTGGCTTCTTGTGCTGCCGTTTCCCCCCTAGTCTGCACATCAGAGAGCAGGAAGCTGATACCAAATCCAATTTCAATAATATACTGCTTGCATTTAAAGAATAAATTCAAGAAAAGAAAAGGAGAGAGGAAGGAAGGAAGGAAGGAAGGAAGGGAGGGGATGGAAGGGAGGAGAAAAGAAAGAAAGAAAGAAAGAAAGAGAGAGAGAGAGGGAGGGAGAGAGGGAGGGAGGGATGGAGGAAGGAAGGAAGGGAGGGAGAGGGGAGGGAGGGAGGGAGGGAGGGAGAGAGGAGGGAGGGAGGGAGGGAGGGAGGGAGGGGATGGGAGGGAGGGAGGGAGGAGGAAGAAAGAAAGAAGAAAGAGAAGAGAGAGAGAAGAGAAGGAGAGGAAGGAAGGGAAGGGAGGAAGGGAAGGAGGGAGGAAGGAAGGAGAGGAAGAGAGGGAGGGAGGGAGGAAAGGAAGGAAGGAAGGAAGGAAGGAAGGAAGGAAGGAGAAAAAGTAGTAGAAAGATAGGCCGTTGTAGATAGGCCGTAAACACATTGTGCAATAAAGCATGCAGAAGCATGAGCATTGTGTGTGCAAAGTGATATAATGTGCAATCGCTCACGATGTACACCTTTATTTCCCATTGCAGAATACACAGAACCATTCACATTAATCCTTACCCCTTACAATCTAAGGTTCCTATACACTCTATGGTCAGGAGCAAGTTAACTTTGGTTAAAGGAAGGAAGAAAACATAGGAATGATATTCTTGCTGGAAAATGAGCCATGAACTCCAGTACTACAAGGCTGCATTGTGAACAAATAAGCCACTGTAACAATATTCTTATATATCATTAAATAAAATTCCTAATTGTTCTGCATAAAGAAAAAAGAGAGTAAAGATACTAAGGGCAGGTGTGCTAGAATCTGAAAAATGTAATAACTCCTCTTAGACTTGAGGTTGATGATTTACAATGCAGAGGCACATCGCCTGAAGCTGACTAGCACACATTTTCTTGATCTTAGAAAAAGAAGCAGTGAGTGCTTAAGAATGCCTGCCTATAAATTGTAAGCAGCAGACATGTGATCCTACATTTATGGCATGTACTAGAACATCTGGCCAGTGTGTGCTGCTCAAATTACTACACCATATTAAAACAACTTCCACTGCATATTGTGCTACTTAAAAACTAGGGAATATCTGTACATGACAGTATAGTCTGGTTCTGAATGTAAGTGAAAATGACATCATACATTTTCTGCAATTCATGTTAACATTTAATAATCACCGTGATGTCAATGTGAATTTTAAAAAAAATGAAAATAGGTAGTAGCTGTGACCTTTCTGTCATGCGGTGGTATAACCACTAGGGGGCAGGAGACATCCTATTTAGTATTTACTGATGAACCATTTTCTGCTATTTCAATCCATGAGTACAAGTTAAAGAACTAGTATTAATTTGCAGCTCCAATTTTTACCAAGATACTTCAGACTTATCACTGTTTCCGTGTTGTTTTTCTTTTCCATACCGCATGTAATTTATGTATAAAACTACTTTTGGTAGCAAGAAAAAAATATTGGAAGAAAAATAATTGATTCCCAATGTAACATGAATTACTGTCAAAAAAAGAAGGGGACTTTGCAGAAAAATACACTCTTGCCAGCTTAGGAAAACTGTGCAGGGCTGGAACAGTACGTTTGAAGAAGAGCTTAAAAAATGTAAACATAAATCTATACTCATAAAAAGGCCCCTTTCAGAAGGGGCGGATACGCCAGGGGATCCGTTTGCTCAACAGGGGATCTCTCCGCTGATCCCCGCTAAGCAAGCAGATGACAGGTCTGTGTCTGCTCCGCTGCTGCAGAGCGGACACAGCTTGCTTTTTCCTATGGGGCGGCCGCCTGTTATCCTATCCGATCTGCCAGATGGATGGGCAACGGATCCCCATCCGTCTGTTTTTGACGTACATGATCGGATCGGATGCAGTGTTTTCTCAACCTTTTTTCAGTCAAGGCACCCTTTAAAATTATGGACAGTCCCAAGGCACCCTTTAAAATTATGGACAGTCTTGAGGCACCCTTGGACTGTCCATAATTTTAAAAGGGCACCCCATTCTAAAATGTGATAAACTATTCTAATAGTTTTATATAACGCAGCAACATCCACACATGTAGGACACCCAACATTAGAAGTGATTTATTCTTCCAAAGCAAATACACTTTTGCACCCTGTTACTGACTAGTATTCCAATGTTTCTCTCCTCCCTCAGTTTTTCTCCATCACTGTGCTAATGTGACCCCAGCACTGAATGAAAGGGGCAGGAGAGGGTCAAACTAGGATGCTGTGCAAGCAACCAACATACTCCTTATCTACTGATGATGTCATTGGTTGTCAGGATGCCGGCGGCTAGAAGTTTCTAATGGTACACAATGAAAACCTGTGCTTTGTGTTACTAGAAGGCAGGCTTGTTCCACCCACTGGCTTGTATACAAGTTTTGGGAAATTGTTAGACATTTTGCCAAGGCACCCCTGAAGAAACTTCAAGGCACCCCAGGGTGTCTGGGCACCCTGGTTGAGAAAGGCTGGTCTAGAGCTGCAACAAGCTTTGTCCTTGTCTGCAATCCAAGCAGTTGCTTCATAAGGGGACTCGGTGGAGCCTTGAGCAGCACCTGTCAATTTAGTTTGGGTCACAGTAAGTACTACTTCCAATAGTCTGTAACTTGCAACTAACAACATAACCCATAATTTACAAAAACTGCAATATTTTTCTGTGCAAATGTTTATAGAGGAGTTTTTTTGAGTGTGGTTTCTGTCTGTCTGAGTGTTTCTGAATCAGGTAAGAAAAAAAATCTTAGCTTCAACTATACTGTGCAGACACATTGCTGCTATGTGTTACCTATGCAGCCAACCAGCAAATTGTGAAGTAGCAGTCCAGATGACTATGGGGGGGGGGGCGACATTACTCCCTGTACACTGATAGCTAAGGTTGTGAGTGCTCAGTGTTATTCAACCCAAAAGTGGGATGGCTGCTTTGGACTTTACGTGTTGACAACACTGGGGAGAAGGTGAGTATTGCAGAGAAAAATGGGGCCCTGGGTTTGAATCCCAGCCTGGACACTATCTTGAATGTTCCCCCTGTACATATGTGGGTTTCCTCCAGCTACTCCATTTTCATCCCACACTCCAATGACTAGGGGCGGACTGACCATTTGAGCACTTGGGCACTACCCGAGGGCCCAGGGTTAGTAGGGGGCCCCATGAGATGCCCCTGGTACCTTTTCATTGGCTTTTACATAGGCTTTTTTGGGTGTGGGCGAGGACACAGGGACCCCATGATCCCCTATTGCCCAGGGGCCTCATGAGTTGTCAGTCCGCCCCTGTCAATGACATGCTGTATTTGAGTGTATCATAAAATCCCAATATTTAGTTCTGTATTCACAGCTCACCAGTAATCCAGCTAAGCCTTGGTTCACACTGCTGCAACCCCGTTGTCGTGCAATTTCCAGTGCGACTATGTAGTGCAACTTTCATGCGACATTAGAGTCTATGGAAATCTAAGTCATTGAAGTCACATCAAAGTAGTGCAGGAACAATTTTTTAAAAGTCACTGATTGGAACGGCCGCTATTAAAATGAACGTGTTTCTCTTGTCATGTAACTCACAAGTTGCATGCCAAGTTGCAACCGTGTGAAACAGAGCTAAATCCCAGAGTACCAAGTTAGCACTTGAAATATTTACTTGCAGTTTTTAATATTTACATTACTAGAAATTAATAAGAAAAATATTTTCAACAATGCTGTTTCTTTAATAAATGCTTACAATATGTGGAAAATTTGATATATTAACTTTAATTACGGACACCTATGACTTGGCTATCTTTACACTCAAAATTGCGTGCTTTCACAATGCACACAGAAAACGCGTTGCCCTTTAGCAGATAAGCTGTGGTGCCAAGTACTGTGGTGCCATTAATGCCTGATGGCACCCCCCTGCACATCTGCTAACATGCACTTTGCTATTGTGCTGCAGCACCATGCAGTTCGGTGTGGCATGATTTTGAAAAAGGGTCGGGAACTTCTTTTGCACTTTTCTCATGGGTAGGGCCCATTGAAATGGGATACATATACATGGAAACACGACTGCTTCATTGCACCTGCATGGTGTGAACAGACCCTTATACAGATTCAGTGGCAACATAAATCCAAAAAATACCATAACTGCCTTTATAGAAATACAAAATGAGATCAATCAGAAATCATAAGATTAACTTATTAAACCTATCACTGGATCCTTTGGAATTCCATTAACTTTCTATTGAGGAGCGTAGCTAAAATGTTTGAATTGTCCAGCAGTCTTGTCTGGCGACACTCTCATTTCAAAATGTGCAATATATTACAAGCTAGTGACAGTATTACAGGCTAATGCACTGTCTATAACAAAGATATCTGCAAGTACATTTTTCCTTTTTTATGAATAGGACGACTCTGGTGCACATAAAATATTTATGGTGCTGTCATTAGGTTTGTCATGTGATTTTCATTCACAACTTTTACTACAAAACAAACAAGTCTTTGGATGCCTGGACATCAGGAAGACTAATTTATGACGGTGTCTATTTAGTGCTCTTCCAGACTTGTTAAGACAAAGCCTTGTACATATGAAACAAATCTATCTTCTGTAGACTTCACTGACAACACATAATTGTGCAGATTTACTCCTGTGGATAGTTATGTCCATAATATATTTTGTTACTGCTTTATGAGCGTTTCTGATTTAAGAGGAACTTTACGGCCAAATGCACATTTACTTCTATTTACTTAGCAGTGCATGTGTCTCTAGAAGTGTTAACAGAAACAGGTTAGCCACAGTATCAAGTGGGCCCATGCATCATCTGAATTGTAATCTATTCTGCATGTGTGTTAAGGGTTCCAAAAATATTCTGATGCTTTACAAAACTGAAAAGCAAGAAGTGGAATCTGCAACTGCTAGAGCTACACAGGATCAGTTTTATACAACCAGATCAAACAGTATGCAGTGAAGTTGTAACAGATCCATTGGTGGGCTAATGTTACATCTGCTTCCAGCTTTAGGTAGATCCAAAGACCTAAGCTGCCATTACGGTAAAATGATGAGATTGATTATTTTGTGATATAAATAAATAAATATATATATATATATATATATATATATATATATATACACACACCAGGGGCAGACTGACAGCTCATGGGGCCCCCGGGCAATAGGGGGATCATGGGGCACCTGTGTCCTTGCCCAAACTCAAAAAAGCCTATGAAAAAGATACCAGGGGCATCTCATGGGGCCCCCCTACTGACCCCGGGTCCTCGGGCAGTGCTCGAGTTTCCAAATGGTCAGTCCGCCCCTGATACACACACATACATACACTGTATATATATATGTATATATATATTTATTATGTTATTATTATACAGGATTTATATAGCATCAACAGTCTGCTCAGTGCTTTACAATATAAAAGTAGTCAATACAGCAACAATACAGTTCAATACAAGAGGGTTAGGAGGGCCCTGCTCCTTGGAGCTTACAATCGAAGAGGGAGGGGCTGGTGGTAAAAAAGTAATAACTGTGGGGGATGGACTGGTAGGAGTAGAAGATACCATTATTAGCTGAAGGCAGGATAGGCTTCCCTAAAGAGATAGGTTTTCAGAGATCACCTAAAAGTGGGCAGAGTAGACGATAGTCTGATAGACTGGGGTAGAGAGTTCTAGAGGATGGGGGAGGCTCTGGAGGAGACAAGCAGGAGGTAATGGGAGGAGCAGTGAGGCTGTTTTCAGTGATATTTGGAGACAAGATTGGTGATGTAATTTGGGGCATAGAGTTATAAATGGTTTTATATGTTATATATATTATTATTATTATTACAGGATTTATATAGCACCAACAGTTTGCTCAGCGCTTTATAATATTATATATATGAAAGACACACATACAGACACACACATATACAGTCAATTTATATCACTCAAGATAGTCTGGTATGTGTATTCTATGGGGGTTGATTTACTAAAACTGCATGGTGCAAAGGCTGGTTCAGCTCTGCATAGAAACCAATCATCTTCCAGGTTTTATTGCCTATAAGCTTAATTGAACAAGCTGAAGTCAGAAGCTGATTGGCTGCCATGCACAGCTGCATCAGATTCTGAGTGTTCCAGCTTTAGTAAATCTACCCCCTATATGTATTTGAAACAAATGCACATATAAGAGAGAAAAAAAATATGTAGGTACTGTAGGTGGCAAAAAGTCTTCCTTATCTATGTATAAGTATTTAGCCTCCCCAGAGTATGAGAACCTTGAAGTTTAGGAGGGTTTTGTGGTGTAGTCTGTTACTGTATGTTGACATTCTAGGAGGCTTAAGGATGAATTCACACTGCAATGTGTGCACTTAGCACGCAGAAACGGAAGGGCATTGACATGCATTTGAATGCTGTGCTGAGTTGAATTTTAAGGCTAGGTTCACACCTATGCAGGTTGCGTTTGAGGTGTTTCTGCATTGCGTTTTGCATTTTTGAACCTGCATTTGTTATGCTTTTTGACGTGTTTTTGATGCGTTTTGCGGGGGGGGGGGGGTTTCCATTTTTTAAACATTTCTTGTTTCTAGGCAGATTTAAAGTACAAAAAGCAGCAAAAATGCAATACATGCTTTTCCGCAACATTTCCATTGACGTCTATAGAACCAAAAATGCAAATTCAACCCTTTCCAAAAAAACGCACCAGGTGAAAACACAGAGATGTGTATTGTTGCTGTTCTGTCACATGTTCTGTCCCCCTTTGTAATGTACAGCGCTGAGCGAACTATTGGCGCTTTATAAATACTGTATAATAATAATAATGTGAACATCTCCCATAGGAAATCATGTTAAATGGACTGTACTGCTGCAGAAAATGCTTAGGTGTGAACCTAGGGTAACTTGAGCTGCAATGTTTTTTTGTTTTTTTGTTTTCTTTTTTGTTTTTGTTTTTTTAGAGCTGAAAAATGGTAGGGCACGCATATCAGTGCAATGTACTGATGTGAACTTCTCCTATTGGAATACATTGTTTTCACAATGTATGTGTGCTGCGTGTGTTGATCAACACATGCCAGCACATCTGGTGTGAATGGATCAGATGCAGTCCATTGCGTTTTTAATCTGCAAAAAAAATGCATGCACAGTGTTTTCCATGTATTCCAATTGCCCTAGTTCACACCAGTGCAGTGAGTTTCACAGAATGTGCTGCATTTTTCCTTTATGGAATGCATATGAAAAGCAGCAAAACACATAGAAAATGCACTAAAACGAACATGTCCCGAATTGAGAGGAAGAAAAAATAAGGAAAAAAATGCATCATGAACACATCAAAAATGCACTGGAACACATCAAAAACACATGTACAGTGGGGATCGAAAGTTTGGGCACCCCAGCTAAAAATTTGTATTAATGTGCATAAAGAAGCCAAGGAAAGATGGAAAAATCTCCAAAAGGCATCAAATTACAGATTAGACATTCTTATAATATGTCAACAAAAGTTAGATTTTATTTCCATCATTTACACTTTCAAAATAACAGAAAACAAAAAAATGGCGTCTGCAAAAGTTTGGGCACCCTGCAGAATTTATAGCATGCACTGCCCCCTTGGCCAAGCTGAGACCTGCCAGTGTCATGGATTGTTCTCAATCATCGTCTGGGAAGACCAGGTGATGTCAATCTCAAAGGTTTTAAATGCCCAGACTCATCTGACCTTGCCCCAACAATCAGCACCATGGGTTCTTCTAAGCAGTTGTCTAGAAAACTGAAACTGAAAATAGTTGACGCTCACAAAGCTGGAGAAGGCTATAAGAAGATAGCAAAGCGTTTTCAGATGTCAATATCCTCTGTTTGGAATATAATTAAGAAATGGCAGTCATCAGGAACAGTGGAAGTTAAAGCAAGATCTGGAAGACCAAGAAAAATATCAGACAGAACAGCTCGCAGGATTGTGAGAAAAACAATTCAAAACCCACGTTTGACTGCACGATCCCTCCAGAAAGATCTGGCAGACACTGCAGTTGTGGTACACTATTCCACTATAAAGAGATACTTGTACAAATATGGTCTTCATGGAAGAGTCATCAGAAGAAAACCTCTTCTACGTCCTCACCACAAAAATCATCGTTTGAACTTTGCAAATGAA